TATGTATAGAGATGTATATATATATATATAAATATGTGTATATGTGTATATATATATAGATATGTACACGTATGTGCATGTATGCATGTACGTACGTATGTAAGTGTGTGTATATACATATATATATATATACAGATTATACATGCATACATATATGGTCCCGTATAGTGTATTTGTTGATCCACAGTGGCGACTAGCAGCAAAGCAAACGCGGTACTGCTGGCAATTCCATGAGTAATACTGACGCGAAAACTGAGGAAGGGAAGGACACAAGTAGTCATGATAGCAATGGCAATACGGAAAATAATGATAGCGCTGATAACAATGCTGCAAATGCTGATAATGCTTTATAGTAGGCACTCGCTCACGAGAACCATGTTGCTGAAAATGCTGTTAAACCCAACAGGCCTAAAGCCTAAGCCCCAAATCCCAAACCTCAGGCCCTGATCCCTAAACCCCAAGCCCTTTAGCCCCTCAACCCCAAGCCCTAAATGCCCTTCCCTTAGACTCTGATAGAACCCATTTAACTAAAGGAACCCTCAAAGGCACCCTAAGACCCGCCGAACCCAGAAGCCATCGAAGTTTGGAGGAGTCTTCTTGGATTCTGGAGCGATTGGGGAAGGAGCTGCCGCCAAGGCAGGTTTGGGGTGTAGTGTTTAGGTCTAGGTTTTAGATGGCTCTGGTGTTTGGTATGTTTCGGGGGTGCTCACTGGATTTGTGTTTTGTTGTTGTAAGATGTTTTCGGTGGGGTCGTTTGTGCTCTTTGGTTCTTTGACGTTTGACGTCGAATATGAGGTTCAGGACTCGTGCTTTGTTCAGTACTCTTCTGTTGTTTTGGTTTGCTTGTAGGACTCTATGCGCTCTTTGGGGCTTAGGGTTGTTCGCTGGTAGGGCTCCCTGTGCCTAGTAAAGCCTAGACTACCCTAACGCAGGGGTTCTTTGATGCCTAAGCGCTGGTCTTAGGGGTTTTTGTGTTCTTTTGCCATGGGTTTTTATACCCTAAATCCTAAACCGTAAACCCTAAAACCCTCAACCCCAAACCCTAAACCCTAAACCCCTAAACCCTAAGCCCCTAAACCCTAAACCCCAAACGCCAAACCCCAGAACTGAAGGGTTTTTTGGCGTTTGCGTCGTGGTCGCCTCCCGGCCCCTGGCTTGTTTTCGAGGGCTTGAAGTTTTTGAGGGTCTTTGAGGGGGAATATAGGGGTTTAGGGTTTGGGGTTGAGGATCTTTGAGGAGGGACTATAGGGGTTTAGGGTTGAGGGAGGGTATAGGGTTTATGTGTCAGGGTTAAGGGTTTTAGGGTTTAGGGTTGAGTATCTTTGTAAAGGTGCGAGGGTCCTGGGGATTTTTAGCGAACCTCAGGGGACCTAGGGGAACAATATAGGGACCTTACTGGTTTTGGGTTTAGGGTATAGGGGCCTTAACAACTACCTATACTATTCTGAGGGCTCCTCATTCTAATTATAATACAATTTACCCCCAAACTCTACTCTAATTATTAAGGCCCCTAAACCTTAAACCCTTATAGTAGCCCTTGTCACCCGATTCTAATTATTAAGGCCCCTATATTATTTGGGAGAATCGGAAAGTACCAGGTTATACTGCATACCCTCCTTGGTCCACCTCCCTGAAGCATCCCAGAACGAAGGTTCAGGAACTTAGTGGGTTTGATATAGGGGCCTAGATAATTACCTATGCTATTTCGGGGGGTTCCTTATTATAGTTTTAGTATAAAGAGCCCCCCAAAACCCTGTTAATTCGAATTATTAAGGCCCCTACATTGGGGTTTAGGGTAGGCCGGCCCAGTCGAGGTAAGTATACCTTCGCTGATGATTTACTCCCAAAGTCCGCGCATCCTGCAAACACTGCCAGTTCAGGGACTTCTACATTTAACTTCTGCTTGTTCACTGGGACCCTATATAGACTCAAAATTCTGTGAACACCACGAGGCTCGAAATCCACATCACGCTGAAGAAGGCGCGAGGAAGATGTGCAAAGCCATCATCCCTGATAGAGGGTTCTAAAGTGTTCTAATAGAATCCCTAAACCCTAAGCCGTGGAGTTTTTTGGCGGATTCCATGATTGAGAGCCCTGGGGTCCGAATCTGCCCCCCAACAGGCCATGGAAGTATGTTTAGGGTTTAGGGAAACCTTATTCTGCACATTAGGGCCCCCCTATACTTCGATGGCCTACAGTTTTAGGGTGCACCCCTGAGAGCCTAAACCCTAAACCCCCAAAGAACGAAGCCCAAAATCCCAACCCCAAACCCTGAAGCCCTCGAATCCTTAGCTCTGAAATAACTCGAAGAAGCTTGACCCCCCAAGAACCCTAGAGAGACCCTATAAGGCAAACAAGACACGGTAGATACCATATAACATGGAACAGAGCGCTTGCAATCTATGTTCTTAAATCCCTGAGCCCGAACTCACCCAAGCCACGCACCCTAAACCCTAGACCTTACACCTTAAACCCTGAACCTGACACCCGGAGCAACACTCTAAACCTTACACCGCCCTTGACAAACTTCGAATCAAAACCCCTTCTAAAGCCCATATCACATGTTGTTAAAGCTGCATCCTAAGTTTTCCTGAGTTCCTTACAAACTGAAACATACACAAACCCTACAATCCCGAATAGGTTGCACTTTCAGAAGCCTGCATGAGGCGCCCAGCAGCCCTGTATCATCATTATTGTTGTCATTATATTTTGTTCTTAGGGTTGTTATTGCTATTATTGTAATCATACTTAGCTACAACAGTTTTAGATAATGATATTTTTACCACTACTGTATCCCGAGGTCTCTAGAACAGAAGCTTTCCAAAGGGTTCGGAAGCACCGGAGCCCCAGTAAAGGGGTTTAGGAATTAGGGCTTAGTTAGGGCTTAGGGTTTTTTGCTTAGTCATGGCCTTGGGTTTTGGGTTGAGGGCTTAATGTAGGGACCTAAACAATTACCAATACATTTTTTTTTTTGGGGGGGGTCGTTATTATAAATTATAGGAGAATGGGCCCCAAAGCCGTATTCTAATGATTAAGGCCCGTAAACCCTAAACCCTAACAGTAGCCCTTATAGAACCCTTTAAGGACACCCCTTTGAAGGAGCCCGAAAGCCCTATTCTCATCATGGACTCAGTCACAAGTCCTATGTTCTTTCGGACGAGATGAGTGACAGGGAGGCTTCGGAGCGTAACCAGTGGAGCCAGAGACTCCCAAACCCCTTAGTTAAGGAATATACTTTAAAACATATTAGGATTCCGATTAGTGTTTAAGGTATATTCCTTAATTAAGGGGTTTTGGAGTCTCTGCGGAGCTCCTTCGGTGCCCATGCATGTGCTTTGACCAGCTGGCTGCTGCAAGGCTGGGGGTCTGGTGGAACGCTTAGTGCAACCGAGAGGTTCCGGGATGTGGCACGGCCTACTTTCTGGTCCGTGTATGGCAAGGCTTGGAGAACTTCGCATTGCCCCGAGCGACGCTGAGGAACTACCTTCATGCCGCCTACTTTGGACTGCTCCTGTGTCTCTTCCCCAGCAAGGAGGGCCGAGACAGTGTACGATCCAACAGCTTTGCGGAGAAGATATGGGAGCATTACCGAAACCCCTTAAGTAAGGAATATACCTTAAATAGGAACCCAAATATGATTTAAGGCCCCTTAATTAAGGAATGTACCTTAAACTATAATAGGAATCCAAATATGATTTAAGGTATATTCCTTAACTAAGGGGTATTGGAGTCTCTAGGTCCCTAAACCCTAAACCCTAAACCCTAAACCCTAAACCCTAAACCGTAAACCCTAAACCCTAAACCCTAAACCGTAAACCCTAAACCCTTAATTAAGGGGTTTTGG